AGGGAACAAAAAAAACAACTCATATGCCTTTCCCAAGACAAAAGAAGACATTTTTTTTCTTGTTCAAAGAACAAGCTTCTTAAAATCATAGGCATTGACCTGTAATTTTAGAGCTTGCATGCCTCTTCCTACCCAAAATTCACTGTGAGCTCAACCCCATCAAGCTGTTTTGGTCATCTATGGAAACTGGTGAGTCTTCCACCAGTTTTGTACTCCTGTAAACAAAATTAAATAAGCATCTAATCTCACTTTCATTCAAGAGAGTTCCAAAAACACAGTCTCACTTGCACAAAATTCAAGCAAGCTCAAGATCTCTTTCCGCAAGTTAGGAAACTCTGTCTGGTGTCAACAATCAGAAAATATATTCAAAAGATCAATTGGCAACATTCAGCCCATAATTATGTCACTGAAGTCTGAACCCATTTCTTCCAACAAATTCTGTGAAGTATCTCTTGACCTTTTTTTATTTCAGGGCTGGCCTGACCAGAGCTACTGCTCATAAGTCCACCTAACATTGTCAAAAAGTATCAATCCCACCACCAGATCCTAGCAAATGTGTTTCAGAATGTTTGATGTCTGTATTGAATGATGTAAATCTTATAAAAAGTATCATACAGACATACAATAGCTTCCTATGTACATAGCATAGGCACTTAAGCACCTACAATAAGTATTTCAGGCTTAATTTACTACCTGTATGCCTGTCCCAAATGTTAAGAGTTATGTGAAAAAAATGTGTCTGATTGACTCATCCTTTCAGGTGAGCACTCTCCTTGTGCCCGTAAGCCTGTTTTCAGCCCTGAATGTATGGTACTATCACCCTAACTTCAGGGGCAAAAGTTGAAAATTGTTTTGCAGGGAAGTATGTTACAGACTGTTCCAGAACATGGTTGCATCCGTGGAAGTTTGGGAATGTTCCCTAGTTGTTGTTCCCAATCCCTTTTTGTCAATCAAATTTCACACAGAACCTCAATACACATTGACATACCCTTATACTTATGTCTGTGTTGGATTTTGGTTGCACTACACACGTCAGTTCCCGTTCTCCACTGTGCTGGATGAAATTGGGCACAAAATACATTTCATCATCCAAGTTGCCAGTCATCTAAATAGTGAATTATCATGATGCTTAGCAAGGTGGATCAATTGCCATGATTCATCTTATTAAATGCTTGGTTCTCACATTCTTACAAAAATGTAAGATTAAGGTGTGGTGTAAGGTGTTATTGCTATTTGAAACTGTTGCTTACCTGGACCAACACATCTAGCCTTAATCCGCCCTTGAATTGTACTACATGAAATATGCATGTAACTCACAGGCCAGACTTGACAAAAATTGACATTGACCAAGGACAAATAATGATGATAGGTCTAAAAGATCCCAAGGGAAATTGGTATTGTTGACTCGTTGACATAACTTGGCAACGACATACATGATATCAAATCAACCTTTTCTGGAAATTTTCCAGAAATGTCTGGGCTGTATGATACACCTCCCAATGCGAGTGGAGTATTTGGAAATGTGTCAAGCTGTTATGACACCTATATGTAATTGGGAACGTTCCCAAACTTCCGCGGATCCAACCATGCCCTTGACTGTTCAGGCATCAAGTTGAAATTTTGAAATTATGGGCTTTGATATGAGTGACTATGAAGATATATGCTTTTTGATTATGGGTTTACAAAAGGCTGAATTTTGAAAATTGAGGACAATGAGAAATTGGGGTAGTGGTAAGCAGAGATAAGCTTTGGGGTTCAGAGATAAAGGGACAATTATATTAAGGTATACAATAACATATTTTGACACAACATTGAAAATTGTCATGAACTTTGACACAGGAGAATTTTCACCATTGCAAAATTCAAAAATCACTTTTGAAAACTGAGAAATGTAAACTTTTGATCATGAAGCTTTGAATGGAAGGGTACCACCACCCATATTTGTAGGGTGAATGTTGGTTGAGGTAGACTCATTTTGCATATAATCAATGAAAGTAATTTCTTACAATACTAGTTCCCAACATCAGTGGTAAAATAAAGTGGTAAACTAGGAAAATCACATTTTCAAAGACTTCCCTTAATTTTCAACTACAATTCAAACTACCAACAATTAGAGTCAGGCCATGGGCACTCAAGTCTGTGTGAGCACTTCTCTACATGTTGAAAAGTGTTCTTTTGAAGAATGTAGAATTTTCCGTTTTGTGAGAATTTGTGAAAAAACATGGAATAAGGTGTCTGTTCATATGAGCATCAAGAGTATCCTCAGCCTCGTGCTGTAAACCATGACATACATATATTTGGGGTATTTTCATCCACAGCTGTTACCCCCAAACACATACTTAGCTTAGGCAATTCTCTACATGCAAGCCAAGATAGGCCGAATTTCTTCTTTTTTTGCTTCCACCCTAAACTTTGATACCTCACTTCTCCCATAAATTCCAGCTTGTACAATCAGGTTCTTCACAAATTATATACCTCAATGATAAACTAACCCATAAATCACCTCACAAATTATGCTACAAGCCGAACTGTAGGGAACCACAGCTGTACATCCTTTGAATTTCATACCTCAAACACTTCCGGAAACCATATGTGCAGCCCTCCATACATTACAAATTTATGGCACAGCTGTGGATTCTCTGAGGACAGGATCCTGCCTAACTTAAGTAAGTCCCCTTTGGACAAGCAAGTAGTCAAGAGAGGGACTTATGGCTTATACATGAAATCTAGCATGTGAGCCAATTTGGTTTGGCTGGCACCTTTTTCAATCCTCAATAGCTCTGTCCCCTGCAAATAAATATCCTCTGGACCCAAGAAAAGCCTGGGGGTCTGTTGATTCTACACAACTGAATGTATCTCACTCCTTATCTGGCCCATTTGTTGCAGAGTAATGAGAGGGTAGATTTGGAAAAAACAGCACAATTCCTGAGAAAGCTGTTCAATGTGTGAAAACCTCACACCAGGCAACAAGCTGGATTGTTACACAAGACTTAATTTTTCAAGTCTGGTTTCTAGCACATTCTGAAACCCAAGAAATGAAATCAAAAGACCCAACATGTGTAGGTTGAGCAGGCACACAAGGCCTTTCTTAGGTCCAGAGGATAACTATTTACAGGGGACCAAGCTATTGAGGATTGAAAGAGTCATCAGCAAAAACAAATTGGCTCACATGCCAAATTTCACGTATAAGCCATCAGTGCCTCTCTTGACTACTCACTGGTCCAAGAGGGACTTAGTTAAAGTTAGGGATCCTGGATCACTCTTCTATGATCCCATTTACATACCACCCTATACAGTCGATTTCACAAAGCTTGGAAAGAATTCCGCGCCAATTTTCTCAAATTTGGCGGGCAGATCACTTCATAAACTACTCACAATCACATATATGTCACATTCAAGGCATGTGTATGTCACTCATTTTTTGTGTATGTACAGCGTGATTCAGATTAACCTAACTTAACAAAGTCCCTCGATGCCTCGACAGCTGTCATTCAAACTAGTTGAATCCGCATGTCTCGGCATGAGGGACTTACCCCCAATGTCCGGTTTTTGGCCTGAAGGCTTAAGCCCTTCTTGGTGGAGAGCATATTGTTTTCCTCTTTTCCGTGAGCACACCGAGGATTAACTGCCAACCTTTGACCCACATGTGCGCTGGGTCTTTCTCCATGTTGTACAAGTGGAATCATCAAATTCCCCTCGTCTTTTGCTGAGCTACACAAAGTAAAATTTTCGCAAGTTCTGCATGTAGCTTGACTAAGTACGTCGACTTAATACCATGGCAGAGCTGGCAATACAAAGCACTTCACTACATACCTATCGCGCGTGACACGTGACTGGCATGGTTGCGCTGTCGCAACTTGTGTCAATGCGGATAACCTACTCATAGGCTTCATCTTTAATGTATTGGTATAGCACATCAAAATCCTTGAATGCTTTTAGTGGGCGAGATTGATGTAGAGATCTTAGTGATTGACGTAGAGATTGTTACGTAGAGTTCGTGCAAGAATCAGTTGATCATAGGACGGTCTATCGACTTGTCTTATGTGATAAGCGATGTCATGTCCAGCCAAATTGCTCCATCCAACTGCTATACACAGCCCCCAATCACAAGTCACTGGCAGGCCAGTGCCTCCCACCGACCCTAGCAAGTTATCATACATAAAGAGGAGATGGTGTTGGATACGAAAAAAATATAACACCGTCGGTGTCTCTACTAACTGCGATTGTGGACCGCTCAGTCCCGTCGCGAAAAACTTTGACTGCCCCGTCGGTCCCCGCGCGAGTCGTGATATTAACTATGACTGCCCCGCCGGTTACTCTGAGAGGTTGCGAGACTATTGCGTTGGCCACAACCACACATTTCCAATTTCCCAACAGATGACGAGCCATCTGATTATAATTCAACCACCATACTGTCTTCCTATGCCCAGCCTCGCAATGTTCAGTCCAAGACGCTGATACATTCTCTGACGAACGGGACTAGGATCGCTCCATATTGCTCGATCGCCACCAACGGCATTCCTCTACCACCATTTCACCGCCATGACGTTTGTCTAACATGTCCGTTTGTACTGCCTCAACGCTATTGTTAACTGCATTTCCAAAATACTGACTCAACTGGCTGTTAATCACTGGCCATTTCATTTTCCACTAGACCAACACACAATCGGTATGACATCTCCGCTTTCTCAAAGCCAATGGCCCGATCACCACGCGCGCCATCACACGAAGCGCGGGTGGTTCCGGTTGGACGATCACGCATTTCATCATGCAAAATGTTATGCGACGAGCCTTTACTCGCCATTTAGCTTGCAATCTTGCTATAAAGCTTGGGGCGTTTTGATATTCATCCTGCCCACGATCCAGCCCGAGCCTGTAGTTTCTATCTGTTACCCCAAATTACCAAACTAAATCGCTATTCTTTACTCCTTTTCCTATCTGTTTGACCACGGCTTACTGAGGAACCACCCATCCGATCTTCCTGTGTACCACCCATCCAAATGGTTAACGCAACTGCAAACGCAAACTCCACTTCGCATCCCATCCGAGTCAATTTCTTCGGACAAGCGGGCGTCGAGGTAAGCTCATTCTATTACTGTTGCAGAAATTAATGCTGACCACTTCTTTTCACAGGCTGCATCTCTTATGATCAATTCCAAGGGTTTCGTCTCCTCACACGCATTGATTGCCACGTCCGGTATGAACGGAGGAGCGCCATTCGCCAATCCCATACGTCTCACCTCCTATGGATCATCCACTGACGCTGTGAAGCCCAATTGCGTTTACTCGATGACGTGCAAGTTGATCTGTACAAATGATACCGCAGATGATCATTTGCATTTTGAGAATTCTTCCCGAATCGATCTCGGCGACGTTGCAAGATTTGGAGAAGACTTTGCCGAGGATCTCATGGACAAAACCATTATGGTCGCATTAGGCTACGTGATGGGTCGTGAAACTGTCAAAGATCCGCTCTACAAGGGCAAGCCGACGGTCGTTATTACGCTGCAATCTCAAGATTATGATCCCTTGGTACATAACCACTTCTCCGTACAGACTTTAACCACCAGAATACTGACACTTTATTCGTAGACAAAGATTCCTGTAACATGGTATACCAAACACCACATCCCACCAGTTCGCAACATGGAGAAAGCCCAAAATATATGTCAGATTGGGCGTGAGGTTCAATTAGTTGGCGCCATCAAAGACTATGACGGCGTTAATTTCATGTGGGAGACCGAGGTATGTCCGCGGTGTAGTTACTCCATCGAACAAATACTTATATCAAACCATAGGTCTCTGCCATTAGTCGATGCACCGGTGATGCCCCGAGTATGGCCGACAAAATAATCAATAAGCCTGGAACACCAAAAGGGGGCCGAGTTCCTTTGACATTGTAAGACCATTCGTACTCACATTTCTGAACAGGAACACTAACTATTTCTTTCCAGATGAAGAAACAAGGCTAGCACAATTGCTAGCACTTCCGCGGTCAGCCTCGATGCGGGATCCAGCAATGCCACAGGTGCTACCTCCAGTCAAACTGAAGTAACCGACGGTTCAATTGTAGACGTCGAAAACGACGCTGTGAACGGCACATTGGAGACTCCAGTCAACTCTTCACCATTGAAACGTCGACGTTAACACCATACAACTCTGACCCCGCTGCACATTCATGATTTGACGAATATTATGATGAATACCAGATAGTGCGGTTTGCCCGAATCCACTTCCGATGGTCTTTATCAATGCGTGATTGAAACTAGGTCTTTGACTTAGTCCCACACACGGCCTTTTTATTATGCGTTCTTCGATTCCCGTTCTTCCTATTCTACACTTTGTTTTGTATTATTAACTCATGATAAAACATCTCTATTCGTAATGCACACATTGTCCCAGCTCTGCGTTACCTACTTTGATGCGCTCCGTATACGAGATACGAGAGATACATTGATCGCATGGATAGAAGTGCATTGTGCTGCAATTTTTGACCCATATCAATGAAGATTGTCAAATGTCAGTGAAGATTGACATTGCGGTACAGTCAAGAGATGTACCGCCGATGTGCGTAACAGGTCATCCCTAACTCTGATTTGAAAGACAGGAAAGTGATCAGCGACTTCACTTTCCACCACACCAGTTTCAAGCGTTTTTAAAATAATACACATCACATACGGACATGCCACAACTCGCCGTTCGAGCCCAGTGGGAAAACAACGAAACTTCAATTCAGCTCCGATTTTGCAGCGAAATTCCGCATAGATTAGGCGATTGTACTGACACCTGTTCCACATGTGACGCATTGCATTGGATTGGTGAACGAACTCGAGATACGAAAAACAGTGGACCTTCCACCTATCCCACATGTTGCCAGAGCGGCAAAGTACTACTGCCGGAGCATTATTTCGATTTCCCACCTGTGCCGGGGTTTCTGAAAGAATTATACACTGGCGATAGTTTTTGTAAGGATGCAACATTATTCTAATAACCGTTGAATTGCGCTGACCAGATTTTGTTACTCACAGGAAGCAACAACTTCCAACAGAACATCTGAGCATATAATAACTGTTTATCGTTTACTTCTCTGGGAGCAGATGTTAAACACAAGGTCGATGGCCCGGATGGAGTAAGATGTTTTAAGATTCAGGGTGCTTTGTACCACGACATGGGACTTATTCTGCCCCGACCTGGAAGCGACCCTGCATTCGCGCAGATTTACGTGATGAGCAATCAATTGGAGAATGAAGCTGCTCACCGAAAATATATGTCAAGGTCAAAGGAGATTGACAAAGAAATCATCACAGAGATACAACAATTTATGTACGATCACAATCCGTACGCGCGACAATTCAAGATGGCAGAACAGGTTCTGCAAGAATCTGCGACGAAATCGATTTTGTTGAAATTGAAATCTATACCCCCGACGGCGGAGGGTGCTGCAAATCACGATCTGCGAACTTATTGTCGACCCACGGCCAATGAAGTTGCTATGATTGTTGCCGGTGGAGGTGATGTCGGTGAACAGGATCGCGATCTCATCCTGCACAGCGAAGATGGTACCTGGGAAAGGGTCTCGGAGCGTCATACCGGGTATCTACCGCTGAGATACCCCATACTATTTCCATGGGGTCAAGCTGGCTATGATGAATACTACCGCGTTCCAACGCCTGATAGTAAGTTGTGCGACATAACTCAGGAAAGCCAATGCTAATGATTGATATTGAAAATAGATGACGGAGAGACTGTTTTGTCATTACAATGGTTCGCATATCTCCTGTTCCACCGGAATGGAGAGTTTTCACCTATACTCGCCTCTAGAATGCTCCTGCAAGAGTTCACCATCGATTTATATGCATGTGTTGAAAATCAGAGATTACGGTGGTTCCGCCTCAACCAAGATGTGTTATATGCCGAACTCTATTCGGGAGCCAAGGAATCTCTTGGTCGAAATGATTTCAAAATCGGGCGACGTGTGATCTTACCTGCAGGTCACATCGGTGGCGCACGCAACATGGTACAACTGTACCACGACGCGATGGCGCTGGTCCGACACTTCGGTCAACCGTCGTACTTCATCACAATGACGGCGAATGATCATTGGCCTGAAATACAATCACAATTATTGTATGGTCAAACTGCAATGGATAGACCCGATATAATGACAAGAGTGTTTCGGATGAAAATGAAGGCGATGATGAGATGCGTCAATAAGGATGGTCGTCTAGGAACATGCCTTTCACACGTTCGAACGATTGAGTTTCAAAATCGAGGACGGCCGCACGTTCACTTTATCCCCATTATGGAACCGACGTCGTGTCCGCGCACACCAGATGCTGTCGATTTAGTCGTCCGTGCCAAAATCCCAGATCGAGAAACCGAACCAGACCTTTGGGCAATTGTAACAAAGTCAATGCTCCACGGACCGTGTAAGGTCGACGGCAGCTGTTGGCGCAACGGAAAATGCCGTTTTAATTTCCCGAAAGAATACGCGGAAGAGACAACGATGACTGACGACACCTACCCAAAGTATCGACGCCGTAACAATGGTCGAACCTTTATTAAGGGAGGATATACATACACCAATCGTGACGTAGTACCTTTCAATCCATACCTACTCCTGCGATTTAATTGCCACATCAATGTGGAAGTAGCTTCAAGTATGCAATCATTGAAATACTTATATAAGTATATTACGAAAGGACATAATCGCGCAGCTTTATCAATCACCGCTGAAAACAAGATTGACACTTATGTGGATGGTCGTACGCTAACGGGTACAGAAGGCAAGTCTCCCTCTATTCAACCGTTTCCTATTGGTCATCGAGGGATCTGATTGTTTGGGTACAACAGCGTGTTGGCGGTTGTTTGAATTTTGGATGTCGTCGCGGTTTCCCGCAGTCCAAAAACTGACGGTCCACTTACCCCGCGAGAATACTGTGTACTTCAAAAACAAGTGGTCTCTGAAAAATCAAATTGAATCGGGAAAGGCCGCTAGGACCACTCTCACCGAGTTCTTTGCGCTATGCAAAAACAACATTAAAATTAAGGGGGACACAGAAAGTGTCAAAACGTTAACCTATCCCGAAGTTGTTTTGCACTTCTCATGGAATAAAGACACAAAACGTTGGAAACTTAGAGTACAAAGTTCAAAAACTATACCCCGAGTTTTTTATGCGAGCCTAGGGCAGGGTGAACGCTATTTCATGCGGTTGCTACTGATGCATGTTAAAGGTCCTATGTCCTTTGATGATTTGAGGACGGTAGATGGAACGGTTCACCCAACGTTTCACTTAGCAGCTGTAGCTCAGGGACTGCTACTCAACGATGATCACTACATTGCGGCAATGGATGAATGTGCTAGGGTACATAGTGATTATCAACTACAAACTATGTTTGGGCCATTGCTATTTGCAGCCCACAGGAAAACCATGTAGGCGCTGCATTGGCAGCGCCTACATGGGTGTTTCCCACGAAAAAGCGCCTACATTTATGATGTAGGCGCTGAAAACCATCTAAAATGACGCCTACATGATAAACAACCCATGTAGGCGTCATTTGGTTACGCCTACATTCAAAATTTCAGAATGTAGGCGTAATTTTCAAGCACCTACATATCTAATTTGAAATGTAGGCGCTATTTTTGAGCGCCTACATTCAATTTTCAGGTCAAATAAGCGCCTACATGCAGTCTTGCATATGTAGGCGCTCCAAATCCAACACCTACAACTCCAGACTGGTCTGACGGCTAATGAAGAAGAAGTTTTAAGTTAAAATGAGAGTATTGGAAGACGGAAATAGCAGTTCGGAGTTGAAATGAGTGTATCGGAAGATGGAAAAAGCAGCTTGGAGTTTAAATGAGTGTTTTGGAAGACGGAAAAAGCAGTTAAGCATATTGGAAGATGAATATGCTCTTTTCAACTCTGAAGTGAGTGTATCAGAAGACGTAAATAGCAGTTCAGAGTTGAAATAATCTACTTCTTTTTCCGCTTCTGATACACTCATTTTGACTCCAAACTGAGTTCAGAGTTGAAATAATTTACTACTTTTTCCGTCTTCTGATACACTCATTTTGACTCTGGAGTGACTTTTCCGTCTTCCGGTACACTGATTTCGACTCCAAACTGCTTTATCCGTCTTCCGATACACTCATTTTGAGTCCAAACTGCTTTTTCCGTCTTCAAAACTCTCATTTTGACTTGAAAATCGTTCTTCATTACCCTTCAGACCAGTCTGGAGTTGTAGTTGCCGGATTTGTAGCGCCTATATATGCAGGACTGCATGTAGGCGCTTATTTGAGCTGAAAATTGAATGTATGCGCTCATTTTTAAAAATGTAGGCGTAAATTTTGTGCGCCTACATTGGATTTCCCATGTAGGCGCTCGAAAATAGCGCCTACATTTCATTTTTTGAATGTAGGCGTAACCAAATGACGCCTACATGGGTTTTTTAACATGTAGGCATCATTTTGGATGGTTTTCAGCGCCTACATCATAAATTTAGGCGCTTCTTCGTGGGAAACACCCATGTAGGCGTAATTTGGCCAGCGCCTACATGGTTTTCTTGTGGGCTGCAAATAGCAACGGCCCTATGTTTGCAATCATCTTAAAATTCGGACCGCCAGCTGATCCTCTCAAGATTTGGAACCAGTTCGTTGTCTACCTCTGTGACGATTGTAAGTACGCAATGTTACAGTATAAGCCAATGGATATTCCGACGGAAGAGATGATTACGGCATTGGGGCTTTGTCGAATGGCGGTTGCACTCGAGGAGGTCAATATGACGTTGTTAGGAGCCGGCCTTCCGCAACCAAATAAGAGGATCTTGAGAGATTACTCTGTTTTAATAGACCTTAACGATGAAGACGAGATCACTGCTGAGGAAAGTGAATTGATACTGGAAAACTCGCTAGAGACAATGAACGCAGATCAACTTCGCATATTTCAAAATATCAAACACGATATTGGTGCACAAACAGGAAAGCTACACTCTGTAGATGGCCCGGGAGGGACGGGGAAAACATTCTTATTGAATGCCATCTTGCACTACTGCAATGCGTTGGGACACGAAGTCGCGGCTGTTGCTTCCTCTGGCATTGCAGCTCTTATACTCCTGAAGGGTATTACAGCGCATTCGTGTTTCAAAATTCCCATCAACGCCGACGATGACTCCAGGTGCAAATTGTCGGGTCGCGACGAACTCAGCAGACGATTGCGATGTTTAAAGCTGATTGTATGGGACGAAGTCTTGATGCAAAATAAAGCAGACATACATTGTGTAGACCGGGCGTTACGCGAGCTCCGAGAGGTCGAGGCACCATTCGGAGGCACAATGGTACTCTTTTCGGGCGACTTCCGGCAGACCTTGCCCGTGATACCAAGAGGTACAGTCGCGGCGCAAGCCGAAGCCTCTTTGAGATGTTCGTATTTATGGGCCAAGCTACAACGCCATAAATTGACTATCAATGTAAGATTAACCAGTGCAAACGTCAGTGCCGAGGTGGCTAATCGAAACGGCGACTACGGGAAATGGCTTTTGAAAGTGGGTTCGGGAGAGTTACAAACCGAGACCGAAGCGGACATTACATTGCAGCATATCACGCACAAAACGATTCCATCATCGAAGACATACAATGAAGAAGTGGCTTTGGGACTATACGCGGACACAAATGTTATGATTGAAGAGGGGCGCTGGGCTGACTTGGGGACATACTATGGGGAACGATGTATTATTACGCCGTTGAACAAATACGTGACCAATGTGAACGACGAGATCATGGATCATTTGAGGGGGGAAATATTTTACTCCGAATCAATTGATTCTAACGACGACGCAACGAAATGTGAGCCGCTGACGCCCAAGATGCTGAATACTTTTGTAGTTCCTAATTTCCCGGTACATTCTTTGAGACTAAAGGCTGGTATGCCAATCATATTGTTGCGTAATCTCAACATGAAGCGGGGATTGTGTAATGGTACGAGAATGGTAGTGACCCATGTGGGGAGAAGAATACTCTCTTGCCGGATTATAACTGGCAGCAGGATTGGCGATTTGATCACTCTGCCTAGGATCAACTTGCACCATACGGGGGGTTCGTCATGTCCGCTCCCCTTTTACCAATTCCAATATCCGATTGCGCCTGCCTTCTGCATGACGGTGAATAAATCACAAGGCCAAAGTGTTAATGATATTGTAGTTTTTCTCCCAAGTCCTGTGTTTTTGCATGGACAACTTTACGTTGCGCTGTCAAGGTGCACTCGCGCTGACAAAATTATGATATGCATGTCGAAAGACATTAAGAATGCGGAAACCAAGAACATTGTATTTCACGAAGTTTTATTGTAATAATCATTAGTTCACTTACAATTTGTGACGGTTAAAATTTGTATGGCTCTAAAACATGGACCAGAGTTTATTGAGTTGTGCGGCGGTATAAGCAATGCATTTCAGACTGGGCAAGGCGCAAATGCGACGAGAAAGGCCCTTTGAAGAGTGATAAGAAAGTAGGCAAATGGCACGCTTACATCTATATCTGAGATGGCGGACAATAGACGCATGTTACCAGCTGAAAGTGGAAATGGCGAGGGAGTACGAGAAATGGACACAAAGTGGTATAAAGGGCATCGTGTAGGCATATGCTCTTCAATGACCAATGAACGCAGACGCTTTAATTACATCACTAAATTCACATCACATTTTAAATTATACCGGGACTATGGAATCTCTCAGTGGAATAAAACGATACAAACAAATGCCGCTGCACTGTAAAGGAATCTTTGACTGTAGTGATGAAGTGAGTACTGCTTCTTGATTGGAATCAGCGTCGCCGCTAACGTCAATGCTAGATAATTGGGTTTCGCAGAGGCGGGGGTAGTCGAGTTGTGTACCGTTTGGAAGCAGTATTCAAAGGGGGATTGATAACGCGGATCCCATTTGCAATTATTGATGAAAGCGGAGACGAAATGCTCCGGGTGTCACAGCGATACATAATGGAAGGGGTCATTGCAATGGACAACTTCACGGCGCAGCAACGTCTGTTTTTGAATCAAAACTCAGTCTCTGCTATCAATCGCGAGTGTCTCGCAACAAAATCACTGGAAGATGAACTTACGTTCTGGGGAAAGGGTATTGTGCTCTCAAACTACCGTGCAAGTTCAGAATCTGGAACGGAGGATTTCAACGTAGCATGTGTAGAGCATCGTCAGTGGGATATGGTGGTACGTGTCTTTAGTTAGACAATTATAATAAATTTAGGCTGACATCGAGACACAGGCTTTGTCGTGGGTCGAATTCAAAACAGAGTATTTATACGATACGGCCACCTTGGGCGCGGCGAAGTCTGCGCTCTTTGTTGAAGGAAATATGGTGGAGCTAAAGGGGCGCGGTGTGAGTTGGTCGGATTGGCGAGGAGGGTGGATAATTATGGTGAGTAGTGGTCGCGTTGTGTGATGAATTGGGCTGACAACAGTTGCAGGTTAGCAGCGTTTCTTTAGTCCGCAGAAAAGTGTGACGTACAGGAGTCAGAAGGTGATGTGAAGTTATAGCAATGGATGTTATAGCGTGGGCGGAATGAGGAAAGTAGCGCTTCGGCTTACATCGTATCGGAGTGTAGATGTTTCACAAATGGCGATTCGTAGATAGTGTACAGCTGTGATGCGTTTACGATTGTGTGTGTAATGCATATGGCGAGTAAGATGATGCAATTCCATAACTGTCCACAGCCGGTGCATCGGTTGGATAATTGAATGAGCAATGCGGTGACCATGAAATCTGTGTTAAAAAAATACAAAATGGGTGGTATCATGGATGATACAAGGTAACGCAACAGCCGGTATGGTGAGGTTTCGGTTATTGCGAGAAACGCAACCCGAGCACTGGCGGAGTTTGGACATAACAAGCAGCCGAGGGTCAGCAGGGTCGTGACAAAACGGGAATGAGGTCTTGACGTTTTGCGTTACGCATTACCACTTCAAACTCACTTCATTTTAAAATCAACTGCCTATATTACGATCGTGAGTGTCTTTGACTTCCGAAAGTTATTGCGACTGAAAACGTTGACATACCGTAACAAAGCAGGTGCAGCTAACGTACGGCAAAATCAAAGTTACCACGAGTTTGAAAAAACGTCTGTTAGGCCTAATATTGTAAGTCAAGGCAGTGGGTGGAGGTATCAATAATAAGATTCAAGGCTTATGTTTTGTATAGAAGCAGCATAATGTCTTCAGCGACGGACAAAGTCGAAGAATCAAATAGGATCATTAGCGATGTAGTGTTGGCAGGGAACGGGAATTTAATACAACGGAACAAGACTAAAATTATAGGAGGGAGAGTGTACATCAAATGTGTAGAGTATCAAACGCGCGGTCCACCGCACGTTACGTGGGTGCTGTCTGCGTAATAGCACTGCAGTAGTTCGGCTGACGGTGTCGTTGTCTGTGACAATTTATGAATTATATGGAACACAAACGTTGTGCAAGAAAACTGAGCAGCATCGCGGATAGAGGCCGTTGGACAGTGATAGCACAAAAGATGAGAATTGAATTTGCGAGAGCATGTGGAGAGCGGCTGCAATGTCGTGACTTGCTTACGTTGTCGAAAACAGAGTTGTAACGAGCGCCAATGACGCTGGCCGAAAGGGCGGCGGGCCGCCCCCGAGATTCTAGTGAGCAAGTTATGAGAAAGTTATGAAATGGATATCAAATGGATAACATCCATTGATTGAGAATTTGTTGAGAAGTGGTTGGGAGACCACCAAAATTGAGATGATGTCATACAGCATCATAAACCTGTACAAACCTGCTCCTGTATTTCCCCACCAAGAATATATAGTTTATTAACCTTTGTGACATAAATTGACTGAGTTATTGAGGTTTGAAAAAAAAAATCACGGACAAAAAATACTATTTTTGTACTATACCTAAGAATTGCTTCTGGAATATCTTCCAGCTTCATCAACATACATACACAAAAAAATTGATATTCCTTTTCAAAACATGTTTCTCCACATTTTTGTCCCCTAAAGCCTTCCTGTATGGGCAGTATTTCTACATGTAATTCCTGAATGTGTCTGCAAGTTTGATTTTCTGAAGTTCTTTGCCCCAAGAAAAAATTTGAGGGAACATATTGCCAAAATCATTCTGAATTTGATTGATGTACATGTAGATGGTATTTGACAAAAATTTCTGCCATAAACTTTGCCATATTCTGCCTAGAAACAAAGAATCAATCGCATTGTTGACTGCTCATGTACACACCACAATTACATATAGAAATACTGCCCATACAGGAAGGTTCTAGGGGACAAAAATGTGGAGAAACATGTTTTCAAAAGGAATATCAATTTTTTTGTGTATGTATATTGATGAAGCTGGAAGATATTAGAAGATCGAGGGGTACTCGGTGGTAGCAACAT